TTTTTTTTTTTTTTAAGAGGTTTTTGCTATAGGGTGTGTGCACTCACCAGACAGAGAGACAGAAAGAGAGAAATCACCCCCCTGGGGGGATGGCCATGCCACAATCCCTTCTCCTCCATCCTCCTCTCGGGATCTTGGGCACGCACGCACACACGCCCAGCGTGAGTTTAAGTCACTGGGTCTGGGACTCGAACTGCAGTTGACTACCCAGCAACATAGTCATTATACTAACTGCTGGTCCCACTTCTTAGTTTTAATTGAGCCTTTTTCTTTGATACCTTGTAGCTAGCTTCTCATAAGAGGGAGAGGAGTTATTTTGTTTATTTTTAAAGTATTTTTCTAGCCAGCAGTAGGTTGTCCACATATTGGTTGGTCTGCCTGAAGGCATTTTAAATTAGATGCTGATATAGTACCAAAGATGGTCAGAGAATTTTTGAATCTTTGTGGGAGTCAAGCCTAGATTTACTGGTTTTTGTCTCTGTTTTTAGGGTCCTCCCATTGTAAGGTGAAGACTGGACAACTCCGAAAGGCCAGACAGATACAAAAGGTGGCCCATCCTGTTAACAGTCAAAAGGATCTCTAGTGTCTCTTAAGTGTTTTTTTTTTTTTTTTTTTTGGTTATGACTCACCTATCACAAAGATAGTATGTCAGGAACAGGATGCAGGAAGAGTCCTGTTATCAAATGGGCCAAAATTATCTGTTAATGTTTGCGGCCTGACTCACCCTGACCCTATGAAAGGGATTTTGGAAATGGGAAATAGTCGTCAGACTTGTCCTTAGTTCCTCCTGTTGGCCAAATAATATTTCTCTGAATGTATATGTCCCATGGCACTAGGAAGGCTCATTCCTAGGAGTTAAGTCCCACAGACCTAGAAAGGCTCATTCCTAGGAGTCATCGATCATCTATTTTTATAGGCAGTAGAGTCCTAGGGGAGGTCATGTCTGACTGGTTCAATTTTTCATAGCCATTACGCTAACTGCTGGTTCCCGAGAAATTAGAAAGTTTTAATACCTAAAGTGGGTGGGACTGGTGACAGGTGGAGAAATTTCTTGATATCAAGGTCATTGGTAATTGGTGGTGGAAGTGGGGGAGGGCATGATATCCAGCCAACATCCAATCTCACTATCATGACCCTGGAAATGCCATGAGGGAGGTGCCATATGGTCTCCTTCTGGCAAATTTTTTTTTTTTTTTTGAGAGGATTTTTGCTATAGGGTGCGTGTGCTCACCGGACAGACAGAGAGAGACAGAAAGCGAGAAATCACCCCCGGGATGGCCATGCTGCAATCTCTTCTCCTCCATTCTCCTCTTGGGATCTTGGGCACACATGTACATGCGCCCAGCGTGAGTTTTAAGCCACCGGGTCCGGGACGCGGTGGGAGTCTAGCGACATAGCCATTACACTAACTGCTGGTTCCCTCAGACATTCTTTAACATAACTCAAACCTTCTGCAACATGCTCTATACCTTGATTATGTGTCACTTTTACCTTTTTATTTCATTTTGAAATAATCCAGTCATTTTATCTTAGGGCAAATTTTTTTTATCATACAAAACTTTCTAGGCCAGCACGTGGCATGGTGGTTAAGGGTGCTGGACTCCCACATGGTAAACCACAGTTCGAGTCCCAGACCCGGTGGCTTGCTCGCTTTCTCTCTCTCTCTCTCTCTTGCTCTGTCCCTCTCTGGTCAAATTAAAATAAAGTTAAATAATTCTTTTAAAAAACTCTATATTGGGAACCAGGTCCAGGGCTCGAACCACGGTTGGCCATGTGGGAGTCCAGTGCCCTTAACCACCACACCACTTGCCAGCCCCCACCGAGCATAAGTTTTATGAGCCGCTGGGTCTAGGACTCGAACTGTAGCAATGTAATCATTACAGCATCTGCTGGTCCCAAAATTATTTATTTATTTATTGGAGAGGTTTTTGCTATAGGGCACGTGCACTCACCAGAAAGACAGAGAGAGACAGAGAGATAGAAAGATAGAAATCACCCCCTAGGGGGGATGGCCACGCCACAATCCCTTCTCCATTCTCCTCTCAGGATCATGGGCACACACGCACATGTGCCCTGCGTGAGTTTAAGCCACCAGGTCCGGGACTCGAACCGCGGTCGACTACATTGGAATCCAGTAACATAACCATTATGCCATCTGCTGGTCCCCAGAATTTTTCACTTTTAGCAATATTAGCTTTTAGTACATAGCAGCAGCTTATGGATATGTATTTTACAAACAAAAACTGTTTTAACAAATTTCCCAATATAGAACAAAACAATCTTATTGATAAACTCAGTATCTTTTATTTTTGTAAAGTTTAAAAG